TTTTTGGGGGGGGGACTCTTTTTCCAATGACCGGGGGGGGCCCCCCGGGGGGGGGGGAAGAGGCCCCCCCCTTCCCCCCCCCCCAAAAAAACCCCCCTCCCCCAAGAAAAGGAACTTTATCCCCGCCAATTTACTTTTGGTCCCGAAAAAAAAGGGGAGCCCCGGAAGTTTGGTTTTTTCTCCTTCCAGCAATACCAAGGCGCCCCCCTTTCCACCCTGGGGAGGCCCCCCCGCAGGGAATTTTTTTCTCTGAACCAGGAAATTTCCCGGGTTTAGGGGTGTGTGTGGGAGGGGGATCCCCCCCACCGCGACAAACCCCCCCTCCCAGCATGTTGAGGTACTTTCCTGAGAACAACCCACCGGCTCACAGCTGGACACTGCTGCCCCCTAGTGGGGAACGGGCTCCTCAGCCTCCTGTAAGAAACTGCTTCTGAGAAGCCAGCCCTGCTATGGGGTTTCCCCACAGACCCTCCCAGAAGTTACTGCGTATCTGGACCTGGTACTGTCCTTTCTTCAGGGGCCCGAGCCTTCTCAGCTGTGATTTCTGAGCCATGACTTCGCCCACCCCTGGCCTGCAGGATGCCATCCCTAAATCTATCCCTGGGTGCTCGGCCGGTTCTGCCACCAGCCAGAATGAAACTGATGCCAGGATTTGTGCCAGGGGGCGCTGCAATCCAGGGAGAGGACACTCGGGACTGCCCAGAACATCCCTGCAGGTCCCCCCACCTCTTTCCAGATCCCACCCCGTTCCAGGTTCCCACCCCACAACCAGCTCACAGCTGCAGGGCGCTCCCTCCGCTCCCTCCCGCCCTCCATTCTCCTCACCAAAGGCTTTGGCGACATCTCCTGGACATGTGCAGCCTCCATCCTTCAAAGAGGAGAGAGCAACAAGGATGTCAGTGGGAGCTCACCAGGCCCTCCCTCTCCCCTGGGGTGACTGGGAGTTGATACCCATACCCACCCCCAGCCAAGTACACAACCCTCAGAGCCAAAGCCCAACACTCCCCTCAGCAGGCACCTTCCACCCCAGCCCTGCCCTCTGCCTGGGAAGGTGCTGAACGTCAGAGGGCCTCCGACCTCCTCCTCCTCCAGCCACTTACCCAGCTTGCCCAGCCATCCGCCCTCCAAGTTCACTCTCATTCAGTAGTCACCCCTCCCCACCTGCCTGGTGTGAGGCGAGATTTATTCAGTACAAGGGCTGGATTATTTTAAGAGCCAGAAAGGACACTGAGTTCGTTCCTTTATGTTTCCAGGCACTCCGTGTTTCCAATTCCCCTTCATGTAATGTGCCCAGTTACCTTAGTCTGACACCCACCCTCCCCACCCAGCACGGTCTGTTATCCTGGGCTGCCCGGTGGGGTTATGTTTAAACACCAGCAACCCAGTACCCGGTTCCCCGGATGCAAAGCCACTGTGCTTCCTCACATACACAAAGGGCACAGCGTGACCAGGCTCCCTGCTATGCGCAGTGTGGCTGTGTGGGGTCCAAGCAGGCGAAGGGCGCGAGGGTGGTCTGGAGCAGCAGCCAGACCCACAGGGAGAGGCCAGGAGGCAAACACGGGGCAGGTGGGCTGGTGCTCAGGGCAGCGAGATGTGACAGAGCCCAAACTCAGTGCGGGTCTTGGAGAAACAGCAGGTCTCAGAGGGAAGCGATAGCTGCCCAGAGGTGGGACCCGCCCTCAGAGCGGCAAAAAGCACTGGGAAGAACACAGACCGCCTTGCTTTGCAATTGGCAGGAAGGTGGGTGCGCTGATGGAGTTTCTCTTTCAAAGGTACAACCCATCTGCCCTTCACGTGTCCTGCCAATTATTTTTAAAGTGCTTTACCTCTTTATCTAAATCAGGACAACACAATAGGGTTTCAAACCTATAACCTCAACAGATGATATAAACTCATGCTTCTGTTAAAATAGGTCCCTAACAGCCCTGGATGGTGTTGCTCGATGGTTAGAGCATGGGCCTGCATATGGAAGGGTGGCAGGTTCCATTCTGGGTCAAGGGCATGTACTGGGTTTCGTGTTTGGGGAGCATGCCGGAGGCGACCAGTCAATGTGTCTCTTTCACATTTGATGTTTCTTTTTCTCTCCATCCACTCTCTGAAAAAGTAATGGAAAAAATATCCTCTGGTGAGGATTAACAACAAATAGATCCCTAACAATGTCTGACTTTAAACACACACACACACACACACACACACACACGCACACACACACACACCTTACGCCTTTTGCTCAGTTGCTTGTAAGTAGCCTGTGACTGCTGGGGTGTCTCATGTGGGGCCCTGAAATTCCACATCACTGTGGTCAGTGATGAGGCCTCAGAAGACCTGAGCTGCCAGGACCCTGAGAACGTGAGCTCTGCTCCCAGGATGGACTGGATGTGCAGTGAACAGGACTTGTGCCTGCTGGGGAGAGAAGTCACACTCCCAGCATCCTCTGCTCGCTCTGTCTGGTGCCCACCATGAAATAAACCCTGCAGAGCAACATGCTGATGACACGTCACCCAGTGCACCCCAACGTCACATCATGCCTCAGGGCACGGGGGTCGCTCCCTGCTACCAATTATTTCCCAAACTTGTTCAAGGCATGATTTCATGTTCTCAGGAGGCAGAGCAGTAGGACAACCCCCTGAGATCTGAGGAAGACATTGATTTTCATCCAGAAACACTCTTAACTGCTGGAAGCTTGTTTTAAAGAAAGTGTGCAGGGCTTGCTCCAGCAGCACATATACTAAAAGAGTGTGCAGATACTCCGAGGGTTGCTCGTTTTGTGTTTCAAGAGTGTTAACATTATATATTAGTAGGAAAGGCATCACATCGCATGAGTGGTGTTCAATCTTACCTCTTCTTAAATAAAAAAAAAAAAAAAGACTTGCTCCTCCCTCAAATAAGGGGTAGTAAAAGCAAGCATGGGGTAGGCAGAAGAAATTTGAATCAAACACCTACTATAAGCCAGGAACTGTTCCAAACGTCCCTTGTCTATTCAATCACCACAAGAACCTGAAGTTGATATTTTGTAAAGGGGGGGTGGGGAGATAAGGGAGGCTCAGGAAGGTTGAGTGACTTGGCCAAGGTCACACAGCTATAATAATAGAAGAACAGGACTAGAACCGTGGTTCAGAGAAAACTCTAAAAATGTCTAGAAGTGTACCTATCAAAACGTTAGCAGTGTTTATCCTAAGATGACAGCAGTCCTAGTCATATTTTTCCTTTACCTTTATTTGCATTTTCTAACTTTTTCTAAGCTAAACCTACTTTTGTTGGGGAATTTTTCAAACCTAAAAAAATTATTTGGAAGAGTTTGTGTAGGTATTTCTAAATAAAGGTCTAACTGTTTCTAAAGTACTACATTAAATCAATAAAATTATAGGAAATTTGCTGATCAACCTTTACTTCTTGGCCAAGGGTCAATGAGGGGATGAGGGCACTGCCTGGGTGTAGGGAAGGAGAAGGTGGGGGCTGCTTTGAATCAACCGACCCTCTGTCATGAACAGACCCTCACAACCTCCGTGATAAACATGTTGAACTCCAGTAAAGAAGAGAGAGTACTAATCCCAGTCAGCCTAGTCACAGGCCTTTTATAGGTCCTGTGAAGCGCTACAAAGTCCAAGCCATTTGGGTTGTTGGTGCAAATCCCTCCCCTTCCAACGGTTCGGTGGGTGCTGATTCCTGACTCTGTGCTTGAGGACTCTGAGGGGAAAGGTCTTGGTATCTATAATAATAAACGCATAATATGCTAATTAGACTGGACAGCTGAACGACCTTCCAGATGACCTTCCGGACGAAGCCGGGGCTGCGAGGGCCAAGGCAAGCTGCTGCGGCTGCAAGGGCTGAGCCCCTTGCATGAATTTTGTGCATCGGGCCTCTATTAGAACAGATGAAGCTGAAGTCTCCGGAAGCAATGTGGTGGGAACATGGGCAGGCCTGGGGTCCTGCAGAACCTGCATTCTGTGTGACTTCAGCAAGCCCTTCACCTGCTTTGAGTCTCCTTATTTTTGATGACGGAGAAAGTGGAACCCTGGAGATGAACAGACTTTGGCCTGAGTGCTGACTCTGCCTCCCACCAGCAGTGTGATGCTGAACAAGTTACCTAAGGACTCCAAGCCTCAGTCTCCTCACCTGGGACGATTACTAATTGTGTGTGTCACCTTGTCTGGTTAAACATTAACCTGCATGTTTCTGTGGGGTGTTTGTGGATAAGAGTCACATTTAAACAAGTAGACTGAGTAAAGCAGATTGCCCTCTCTAATGTGGGTGGGCCCCATCTAATCAGTTGAAGGCTTAAATGGCACAAAAAGGTTGACCCTTCCCAAGAGAACTTTTCCTAACTGGCTGCCTTTCAATTGGGAAGTGAGCCTTTTCCTCCTGGTTCCAACTGAAATATTGGCTCTTCCTGGTTCTCAGGCCTGCAGACTCAGACTGAACTCCACCATCAGCTTTCTCTAGCTTGCCGAGTCATCCTGCAGATCTTGGCCCTTGTCACCCTCCATAAGCACATGAACCAGTTCCTTCCAATAAATCTCTCTCTCTCTCTCTTTCTCTCTCTCTCTCTCTACACACACACACACACACACACATTACTGGATGTTTGTCTAGAAAACCCTGACTAACACGCCTATCAAAAGATAACAGATACCCACAGTTGTTCCAAGGATTAAAGATTATATGTATGGTATGCCTGGCAGATAGTAGATGCTCAATAAATGATAGCCATTACTTCCTCCAAAGTTGTTTCCACCTTTAAAATCCTCTCCTTTGTGTGATGTCTTTAGCAGATGACAAGACAAAATTAACTGGTCACACCTTCATCTTTACCTACATGGGGGGAGGGGGAGGATTCCTGAATTTTTTAGGTCTCTGCCTCTCAGAGCCCACGTGGGCCACAATAAATAGAAACCTGACTCAAGTCCAGCCACTTGGGTGTAAGCACCTGCTGAACAGACTATGCTGTGGCTTCCTTCTGAATGTCACTGGCATGGATGTGCTAACTCAGCAGCTAAGGGGGGAAATGAGACAGCTGGAAGGCAACTGGACAGAGTGGCAGGATCCAAAACATCTGATGGGTTTCCAGCGGGGTTAGAACGGCCGGCGATTGGGGGAAAACTACTTGTGAAACTCCACTAGTCAAAGGGACGGTGGGTAAAATGGCGGCTCTGAAGCCTAAGACTCTCAGCTGGGCAGAAAGAAGGAGCTGAAGTCAAGCCTACAGACCCCACATAAGTCTGTGAACTTCATTTGATCAAACTGAATTCCTAACCCGTCTAGGAAACCTCTTGCATTAATGGAAAGTTAAGACCCTCGGAGCACCAGGCCAGACTGCCCCAGCTGACAAGTCCGCTAGTTCCCTAGCGCTAGCAGATGAGACCTGCCTCTGGAACAGTGACCCGAACTGCAGAAGCCAAGCCGGCAGTTCTCAGTCTTGACAGCACATCAGGAGCACCTGGAGGGCTTGTGAAAACAGACTCCGGGGCCTCACCATCCGCATTCCAGGTTCGGGTCTGGATGGGATCCGAGTTTTCCTAACAAGTGCTCAGTTCATACTGATGCTGCTGTTCTGGGCACCGCGCTTGCAGAACTGTTGAAATAAGCTAGAAACTAGGTGTGCTGTGCATGGAGCCCAAACCGATTTCCCGTCAGTCACTGCGGTGCTAGCAGAGCCTCCACCCCTCCCACAAACGGTCCCGTGAACTAAGCAAGTGTGACATTTCTGGAAAGACACACGTACAGGATCGTGGAATGTGTTCATAGTAAACCTACGAATTTGACCTCCCAACCAATTTGGAAATGGTAGCCATTCAAGGTGTATAATAGAGAATCTAAATTCTGATTAAGATTCTTGATGGTAATAGAGACTTATGGCTGATGAGACATGGTGCACTGGGGGCCAACCTCTGAAAAGTCGAATTCACCAGGATGGGGTCCAGGAATGTCAACTGTACAAAGCTTCCCAGGTGACGCTCATGCAGCAGCCCAAGACAAGGCTACTGTGAGCCTCTGAGAACCACGGGCACCCTGGAGAGGGTGCAGTCTGATGACTTCTCGGTCAGTCACCTCACTCAGCAAATGCAGGGTGACAGCTCTGTGTCAGCCTCATACACACTAGTTGTTTAATAAGTGGGTGTTAATTTGTTCGTTGTGGCAAAAGCTAAAGGGAAGGGCCTGGAGAGGAGGCCTTAGAACTCCGTCTGCAACCAATCAACCTCAGTCATTTACCAGCTTCTAGCACACAGTAGAAGCTCAATAAAGCCTTGTCGACTGGATGGATGGATGGATGGGTGGATGGATGGGTGGATGAAAGGCCTGAAGAATTAGGAGCCCAGGAAATCAGCTCTAGAGCTGGAGTTAAGGACCTGCCTCCTGGCTTCAGTGGTTACCTGGAGATCACAAGTGGGGAAGCAACAGCTGCAGCTCAGGCTGTGATAAGGCTCAAGGGGGACAATGTGCATATGTGACGTTTAATGAGTGTTAGCATACCCGCCAAGCAGGTCCAGGAATCAAACCTCAACAGCTGAAATGCTGAGCCAAAATCAACAAGATATCATTCCCCAGGGATATGAAATTCAAAGCATTTGGACTTAAAAAAAAATAACCTAGCATTTAATGTGGGAGCATAGCTTAGCAACTGTGCAACTGAAAAGATCTGAAGACTTAATTTACTATATTCACTATGAGTCCATTGTTATAGAACCACTAAAAATATGTCACTACTTCAGAATTTGTACAAAAACAAAAAAAATTTCACATATGCATCATCCACATAAGTGGAAGCCATGGTTCTATCTGAGGTCCAATTGGTATGGACACGCGCTGTCCTGTCTGAGCACCTCGTGTAGAAGGGGAGAGACAACTCTCTCCAACTCTGCACTGTGGCCACGGCAATAAGGTGGAGTAGAATTACAGATAAAGTGAGGATTTCATCTCGACATCCATTCAATCCCCTGAGCACTCTGGAAGTGTTCTTCCAGGAGCTTCATGAAAGTGTCAGGTCACTGTCTCTGCCTCTCCTCACCTCCTTCCCGTACTCGTCTCAACCCGCAAAAATCTAACTGCTGCCCCCACCACGCCACTGCGTCTGCTCTCTCTCTGGCACCTGCTGACCCACTGGCACATCCGCACCACTGAGATGTGACCAGCGAAGGTGAGGTCATCCTGAAGGAGGACAGGACGGGCTTCTAATCCAAGGACTGATGTTCTTATAAGAAGGAGAAATTTGGACACAAAGACAGACATGCACACAGGGAGGGCACCGTATGAAAACTGCAATTATGGTGCCACAAGCCAAGGAACTATCAGAAGCTCGAGGGGCCTGGAACAGAGCCTTCCCGGAGTTAGAGTGTCCGTGGCCCTGCTGACACCTTCATCTCGGACTTGGCCTCCAGACTGTGAGACAACACATGTCCTTTGTGTAAGACCCCATCTGGGGCGGCCCTCTCACTTCAACACTCCCCACCTACCCTCCATCATGCTGCCTACCACTCTGAGTTGTTACTGACCAGAATTCTTACTAATGTGCCCGCCTTGCTCACAGTGTGAGCTGTGACCACATGCTGCTCACTCCCTGGCCCACAGGATGCTGCTGGGTGAAAGGCAACTGGAAGCAGGGCTGCCTCGGGGCCTGCAATCCCGAGATGCCCCCCCCCCCCCCCCAACCTGCCCCCAGCCCCGCTTGGAGACTTACAGAGATGATGTGCCCCTTCAGGCCATGGGCAGAGTCTGCGCACTCAATCACGGCACTCAGCTGGGGGTACCCAACCCCCGTCTTGGTGCGGGTGGTGCACACGGAACCTGGATGGAGGAGAGAGACGGTTCATGGATGAGCAGAATGGGACACAACATGAGCCTCCCTCACTGTCACATGGCAGAGGAGAGGCTCGAGGGAGGGACTGCCCAGCAACTCCACAGAGGTGGTTAAGCACACTATGTGGCCGTGCAGCCTTCGGGTCCTCAGAGCTGTCACCTGCTCACATCCAAAACATAACCCACCCCATAACCTGCCACCGTCACTCTCCCCTACGACAGCAGCTCCCCTTACTGGCCGAGCACTGACTCTCCACAGTTAAACTCCCATCCCTTCCCACTGTCCTTCCCTCTCCCACACAAACACACTACATTTCAAGGGACCTCCTAGATTCCTCCCACAGCCTCCAGCCTCTGTACCTTCCACTTTTGTCAAATTCTAACTTCTCCAGGCCTCAAGGGCCTCGCCTGTGGGCATGGAAATTAAAACATTTGTCCTCACAGGGTAGAAATTTAAATGGCATAGGGAATAAAATCATTTGGCCAGGA